CATGGACATATGGCTTTGTCTGCATTAGATGTGGTAAAATATGTGGGTCACAACTGCACTCATCCTTAATCTTCAGACTTGAAGATAATGCATATCTATATAATTTAATTTGTAATAAATATTCATTTATCCATCTCAGTGGCTCTACAGCCCATGGAGGGCTCTGGCCTGCTTCAACACATCCCTCCATTCAGATCTCTCCTGGGCCTTTCGTCTCCATGCCCTAACCCCAAGCTGTTGCAGATCTGCTTCCACATTATCAATCCATCGCATTTGGGGTCTGCCTTTGGGTCGCCTGCCTTTTGATTTTTGCCTGTTTACAATTTTTGCTCCTCGGTTCTCTGACATACTTTCAAGCCCCAACGTAGTCTGCTCTTTTTTATTTCTGTCACTATTGGTGGGTCTTCCTACAATTGATATATCTCATGGTTAGTGCGTGTCCTCCACCCTGTTTCATCTTGTATAGCAACACAGATTTTCCTAAGAAATTAATATCTTTCAAAAGTATATTTCAGTCATTAAAAAGTAGTCTTGTGAAATTTATTTGTTTTAATTATTAATTATTGCGTTCATTCATAATCTTCGGACTAAAAAACAATGCCTTGTATATAAATATCAATCATATTGCTGACTAAATGTTTATGTTTTCATCCTATTAAATGTAACTCAAAGATTGTTTGATTTGCTTAAAGTTGAAGGTTACTTTCCATTGTTGAAAAAATATGTTGCTTGTTTTTTACGATTTGCCTTACTTTGTTACTATTAACAGACAGCTATTTATTTTTTACAGATTTATTTTTTACTTATTTGTAATCGGTATTCAATGTCTGATGTAAATTATTTACTGAAGTGACTTTTTAAAATTATACTTATTTATATTGTATTAACTTTTGTACATTTCCGGCCAATTTAATGACTTTGTATTTTTGTATAAAGATTGATAGCATACATTTTTGTTTTAAATGTTGTTTTTTTTTCAAAGATGTGTTGTTGTTTTTCTGGCAGAAATGAAGGTTTTTGTGAGGAAGAATTAAAACCAGCAGATAATAATCTGTTTGATTTGGTTGTGAATTATGATTTGTCTACTTTGTAGGTAGTTACTTTATCATGCACTGTTTTCTCACACACAAAGATGAAATTATAAAATTAAAAAAATCATTTTTGTTTTTTATCGTAAATAACAATCTACTTTCAGGATATATTTTTATTTTATTCTATGCAATGTCAAGGACATTATTTTATAAGATTACTGTAGCCAACTAAATCATCAAACAAGCTAAATACAAAAAAATACTTGTTTAAAAAACAAAACTTATATTAAGTGTAGTTGTATTAATAAGCTTGGATCAGTCATGTAATTAAATTTGTAAAAGATCTATAATAACAATAATAAATCTATGCGATTAGAAATATTTTTACCAATTCTTTTTGTTTAGCCCAATTTCACACTTTTAGCTTTCTCAATACGCTATGATCCTATCACTTGATTGGACTAATTGGAAAGGGGTTGGGGGGAGAAGGAAGGGGGTATCTTGGTGATCGCTTTTTGATTGTATTTATTTTAAAAAAAAAAACGATCTGAATTAAAACTCTAGGGATAAGTCCATCTCAGCCTCCTCAAGCTTATACGGTAACCATGACTGTACCAGGGAGCTTCTTATGAAATTTTTTTTAAGAATAATAAAGGGGACTAATTCAACTTATACCACCTTATCAGTCAAGTAAAATTTCTTTCCCTTGTTTGAGTTACCAAACAAAATAACAAAATGATTAATTACGAATAATAAAATAATAATAATATTCATTATCCATAAGGAAATTTGTCTTACAATTTGAGCATTACACCAAACAAAATATTATATCAGATAGTTTGTATTGAGTTCTAGATTACTAAGGCTTACTAAGGAATTGTTGAGACTTTGACCAGTTGTTCTGAAAGACACAAAGATAAAGGCACATTCCTTATCCCATATGCAAGGACAAATTTGTACAAATACTCCTTCTTCCCTAGTGCTATTAGAGCATGGAATGGGTTGCCTGAGCTAGCCAGGAAAACCAGTGACTTGGCAGAATTTAAGTCATTGGTTAATATGCATGACTAAATGCATGACGCGTAGGACGTAATCATCTTCTTTTTTGAAGTAACGTCTGTATTATATAAGATAAGATAAATAATCCACGTCCCAAGCATGAAAGAATATTCAAAGAGGGCTTAGTGTTAATATGTTTCTGGAAATATCTTTTGAAAGGGCTATTAAAGAAAAACACTGACTTAAATGGAGGTTGTTGATTAGTTTAAATAGTCAGTTGAGTTACAGTATGCTTCAGTTAATTGTATGAGTAGGTATACAGTTAGTATTTAATTTTTCACTGTTATTTTAAAATTCATTTCAATTTGTGTTCTAATTCTGTGAATGAAATGTGGAAGTATTAAGCCTCAATCAAGTAGAAAGCTGTGTTGGGTCAGTCTCAGGTCAGTGTTGGGTCATTTTTGGGTCAGTGTTAGGTATTGTTCAGTGTTGGGTCAGTCTCAGGTCAATGTTGGGTCATTTTTGGTTCAGTGTTGGGTCAGTGTCAGGTCATTGTTTGTTCAGTTTTGGGTCATTGTTGGGTAATTGTTAGGTCAATGTTGGGTCAGTGTATATTCTATCAAATCTACATGTGTGCTGCTGTACTGAGAGATATTAACACAAATATTCAAATATGCCACAGGTTGGTCATTGTCATTGCCACATGAAGCTCTTGTAAACACTTGCTTGGCTGATGTGTGGTTGAATGGCCGAAACCGCTTGGTTACCTATCAAGGAGCTTGAGTTTGAATCTAAAGGCAACACAGAAACATTCTCCCAGATATCCTCAAAAGAGAGAAAGAACCAGAGGGTACTGATCATGCTATCAACATGAAAGTGCTGCAAATTAAAAGCTATATTTTAAAAAATACAAAAACCTGAGTTCAAAGACCAAAGAAGTCTTAAAATGAAAGTTTTAATGTATTTGCTTATGACATACAAGACTTATATTCACTGTTGAACAAACACCACAACAAAACCAAACATTCTATTCACAGCTTATCAAAAGGCATAACGTTTGTACTAGTAAAGAAATATAAAATTGTATCACTATTTATAACTTTCTTATTTAATATTATTTCTTCTAAATAAACTTATGTTTCATGAATCAGTTCAAATTAAATTAAAAAAAAATTAAATACAAATTTATGCACCAGAATAAATCAATAAGTCTACAATATTCACTTTTTTTTTTACAATTGGAAAAAAACAACTTAGATTACAAAATCCCTCAGTGTAATGACATTTTTCAAATACTTGTAAATAAAATACCTTTAAAACTGTAATGTTATGACAGCGACTTGAGCCTACATTATGTTTGTTAACAATGCTCCATTAATTAAATTATTATTATTGAGGTATTTAAAAAGACAATTTTTAGTCCAAGCCAGCAATAAGGAACTTCAAAATATCTGAACAGGAGACATCTGCTGACTTCATGCTTCTTTGGAGTTTTAATTAAGATGCCAGTCTCATAGAAATAATAGTTCTAATCTAGGTGAATGCTAGTAAGTATCATGTTTAGGAATTTAATTGTTAAACAAGCAATTTTTAATAGTCTTTTAAAAGTAATTTCTCAAACACACATTCAGTCCAAAAGATTGATATGTATTAGCCAAAACATCCTCTAGAATGGCAGGGGATGTTCGTACCCTGGACCATAGTGACAAGAAGTAATTAAAGAGGATTGAACTGGAAAGTAGATTATCATCAACTCTGAAGGAAATGTTAAGCATTTTACAATATTAAAAACATTGATGCCTAAGCTATATAGTTCAGTGGTTTTTGCCAAGTCAATTTAAGGAAATAGACCAAAAAGTGAACGAGTTCCAGGATGGGATGAAGTTCATGACATAGCCCAGTGACAGACACAAGACAAAAAGAACATCTTCACATAGTGAGCACATTTCCCTAATTAATTACAGCCTGCATTCTAATAAATTATGCATGTGAAGCAATCACATATTTACTTATAACCTGATATTTCATTTGTAGACTTTCATCAAATCTCATTTCTATGTTTGATACTTTTAAGTCATCAACAGTTTCTCTTTTACTTCCAACCACGCCATAAACAAAATTAATATAAGAAATAAATATATATTCTTATGCTAGCAACATTCTCAATCAGCAGTTAGTTCACATAAGATGCTAGACTGTATGCTGTAAAACATTATTTAGAAAAAATTGTTTCTGTTTACTGCAGTCAAATCTGGTTAATCGGATCAGGGGGGTTAATCAGAAAAGTTGCTTATTTGGACCCAATCATAAAATACCTAAACAAATCCTGTTATATTTTTGTAATATTATTCGCTTATTTGGACACAAAATTTAATTTGGCAAAAGATTGAGAAAATAAGTCACAAGTTGGAAAACTAGAACTTCAACAGGTTAAAAAATTACTCAGAATTTTTATCAATTGAAAACAAGCTTCATGCTCAAATTGCAGAGAAACAACATGACAGCAGCCAGGAAAACGTCCTGATGTGTTCTGATCAACCAGATTCAACTGTACTAAAAAGTCTAAATTTATAGTGTTCATTAATAATTTGCAGTTGATGTTTCATTTTCTTCCAGGATAAAACAGAAATTTCTATGCTAGCATCTACACTGATAAGTCAATAAATGTATTTCCAGTCAAATAAACTGGAGAAATCCGTGACTTTGAAACAAGGTAACACAAACTACCTACCCCCTGAAGTAAACCATGACAGCCACTGACAATAAACTAAAATAAATATATGCATGTAAGGTTGTTTGATAAAGATCTGGCACATGTTGAAATTAAATATTGTAACCTAAAACTTAAAATATTGAATGTCAAGTACTAATTTAATTTTGTTTGATATTTCAGATGTATTTACCGACCATTTAAAAAAAAACAAAAAACAATTACATTTAACAAAACAAAAGAATGTAAACAATTTTCAACAGAGACTAAACAATGTTTATGTGATAATGATCATGTGTTTTTATTTCTTTCAAATAGAACTGGAGTTATCAACGACAAATCACAATGAGTATTTTATAATCATATATCTGATGAATTGTTTTGCAGATTTGACTGGTAATTTTTAACAATTAACCTTTCAATCTCTTAATAACTCTATATTCTGTACATTGACAACAATAACACTGAGTTGACACATTGTCTTAGCCCACTAAAATGCAGATGATTTTAACAACAGAAAACAACAATCACACGCTGAGCATAAGCTGTGCAGTTCTAATGAAACATTACAAGTATGAAAGAAAAAACCCATGAAATAAAAATCTCTTTCTATGGCTGACATTTAATGGGGCATCATGTGGTCAGTACAACAATCAACCGCCAATCAATGTCACGTACCCATTAGAGTTTGGGTTGACTCATGGGCGTCCTTAGAATCCTAAAATTTAAAATTCTAGTTTCAATGCGATACGAACCTGGGACATCCTAGGTTCAGAAGCCAAGTGCTTTACAACTCAGCCCCCACACCCCTACAGCGTGCCAGGGAAACAATGACAGAGTCCTAGAGATTGGACATACTTTTGATAATTTTACTAGTAAGAGAGACAGATGTCTTGTAGGACAGAAAACAGTAGAATGTCCTTCTAGGACACACTGCCATCATATTGCACAGTATAACTGACACAATGTCAAATCTTAAAACATATGAGCCACTAGCATTTAGATAATAATATTAAATGCATTTTTTTTTCTGAACTGAAATAGCTAGGGAATAAAATGCTCAAGATAGAAAAATTCATAAAACTGAACACCTAACACATAAACATATTTTAGTCGAAGAATTCAGAGCTGTTGGCAAAGAGAATACATTCAGCACACATGTGATACAATATGTTTAGTTTTTAAAAGTTATTACCAGCCTAATAATAACAGCTAGATAAAAAAAAATTCTTCATTGAAGATATTATGAATCAAGTAGATTAATTGGGTCATTTTCTTGATTGGCAACAATTGGGACACTTGGATGAGGAAGATTTAATCATGTGGAAACAGTAACTATACATAAATTCCTTGCTGCTTTGTGCTAATGAAGATCAGTGACTTTCAATAATTGTAAAGAAAAAATATGAAAAACTTTTAAACTATGTAAGTGTATAAACATAAAATTAAAATTGTAGAGATTTAAAATCATAGACAATTCTTTAAAAAAATATAGATCTATTTAAATTTAAAAAAACAATCATCACGTGCTAGGGTTCATACAAACTTTGGTTCAAACAAGGAAGGCCATGTCCCCCCCACCAAACAGCTTTCACTCCCACACCAACATCATGGGCTTTGTAGATGCCAGAAACAAACATCCAAGTTCACAACACCAGGCCAGATATTAGTCCCACTGACATATCACAATAAAATCTGGTGGTTTCATTATTGGCTGGCTCCCAGCCTCGAGCGTAGGCTTCTATCACTTCTAGCAAGGAGCAACGGACTCTTGGTAAACTTCTGAAGAAAAATAAATTTACAAACAGAATGAAATTTAAAAAAAAAATCACACATTAGCAGAATTAAAAAGGGAAATGAACACACACAAAAAACAACTTAAAGTACAACACAATCAAACCTTGCTGTTTTAAAATAAATTTTATAATTTCATTTTAAGTAAATAAAAACCTAAATTTTCTTTCAGGCACTCATGGGAGGAACAATCCTATTTAAGGCAATTACCTAGCCAATGAGTAGTGCTGATATAGTCTGTCACATTTTTGTACTATTTGGTTCTAGCCTTATAGGACAGATATCATGACTCTAAGTGCTAGTGCTACTAGGCAGAAATCATTTAAACTATTTTTTATTTGTGAAGCTACTGGTTTATGATTATGAGGGTGTTGCATGGCCGGTCACCCGACAAAATAGTGCAAAATTTCCCAACAAAATAGCGCAGACTTGTATATTATGTGTATAAAAGTACCGAATTATTAGTAATTTAATGTTCTGGGCAGCATTTTTGTTGATGTCTCTATCTTTTTCAATATTAATAGATCTGAAAGTATGCCATATTTGCGGAGAACGAGAGTACTTTAAATTTTATATCATTCCCCTTTTTCACCAATGTTTAAAATACATAACTTGCCCTTAAGTAAAGAATAACATCGAAGAATCAAGTTCAGAGTAGCATCCCTTGAACTTCAACTAAGCAAGGTGTGACTGTGGTTAAATAACTATAAATGTGCTAGAACTAAAACCATTTCTACTATTAAAACCAAGCGAGTGACAAAGAAAACTAACTTGCTATTAATGATACATGTTCTAATATTATCTATTAGCTGCTGCATCTGTTCCTCTCCATTCTCTTCAAGCAATTTCCCAATAGGTTGTAACTGCAGATAAAAAAAATATAAAATCACTAGTTGTCATTTAAATGAAAAATGTATTTCTAACATGAATGTTTTTAAAAACATTGGACATAAATAAAATCATGCAATGAAAAATTCATACTTCCTGAGAAAAAACTTCACAAGCGTCTTCATTGACATTCTCCACGTCTGCTACCCTCGGCTCCACACTTTCCTCATCCTCCCTGATGTAGTTGGGGTTCAGTATGAGATTGAAACAATCAAAGATCGGATTGACCAACGGCTTGAACACCTGAACAAGTTAAAGACTTTATTTGGAATGAATGACAAAGTTAGGTTGAAGCAGCATTTCAAAGGGAGTGCTATGGCTGATTGGCTTCATGAAGCAACACTTAACAAGAATTAGGTATGTGTGTATGTAAGCTTAAAAAAATAAGAATGAAAGAGGTTGGTGTCACAGTCAAAATAGTAACTTATTGGACCTTATAGTGCTTAGTGAATTTTATGACTACAGAGCATGAAAATATAAATAGTTAACATAGTTAGGTGTGCACACCTTAGAATATTACTGATCTACTGGATTGTCTTTAGATCTATGTAAAACATGGAGAATGTTCCCTTCACATTTTTTTTATTTTGCATGAAAATAAAAGTAGAGTGTGAAACGGGGTTTACCCATTCAACCGACTTATTCAAGTCAAATATAAAATACTGTGAAAACGGGTTTACCGTATTTGTTAGAATGTTTTGCTCTTTCTTATTGGCTCCTTCAGTCATAGAACAACTATGGTTCATCTTGAACACTTTTCTTTTTCAGATGGCCGTGGAGCCTTATTTTGGAGAGACACTCCCGTCCACATATATCGCAGGTCAAGGTGGCTTTCGCTTTGGTGGTAGAGAAGTTGGCCATTTCCCGTGTGGAACGCTTTTCTTCAAGAGCTGAGGCCCATGTTTTCTCACTGTCCATAGCTTTCTTGGTCACCGTCTCTATCCACCTAGTGCGGTCTAAGGCTATGTTTTCCCAATGGTCAGTATCAATGTTCACTGATTTTAAATCCAGTTTTATCACATCCACGTAATGGAGGTGGGGGCGACCAGTTTTTCTTGAGCCAGATGCAAGTTGTCCGTACAGAATGATTTTCGGGATGCGATTGTCCTCCATCTGTCAAAATGTCAGAGCAGCGCAGGCGGTGCTTGAGGATCTTAAGATGCTGGGAAGGCCCGTTCTCGCCAGAATCTCAGTATTACACACTCTTTCTTTCCATTTTTTTTTAAGATCCTTTGAAGGCAGCGCAAGTAGAATGAGTTTAGTTTTCTCTCTTGCTTTGTGTAGGTAGTCCACGACTCACTGCCATACCGTAGCATGATAAGAATGCATGCCTTGTAGACCTCCATTTTGGTCGCTGTGATGAGCTTCTGGTTTTCCCAAACTCTTGGTCAGAGTCTGGCGAAGGTTGATGCGGCCTTCCCTATGCGTTTTTTTATCTCGTCTTCTAGATACAAATCATCTTGAATTGTAGATTCAAGGTAGCAGAATTAATTTACGGCATCTAGCCTGCTATTTATCAATGAGGATGGATGGTGGTGCTGTAGCAGGTGGTCCCATAACATAAGTTTTCTTTGTGCTAATGGTTAGGCCATACTCTTTGCAAGCCTTAGAGAATCGGGACATTAGTGACTGAAGCTCCTCTTGTGAGTGTGCCACTACCGCCACGTTGTCCGCGAAGAGCATATCTTTTACGAGGGTGGTTCTGATTTTAGTTTTGGCCCTCAGTTTAGCAATATTTAGAAGTTTGCCATCAAATCTGGAATATCTCTTTAATAGAGATACAATTAGGCACTTTTGTCTATTTAAAAGGCCCTTCGGTTGTGGGAGGAACATTAAAAATACACTATGGGCTCTGCCACAACCTGAGGAACATTTATGCCACGTTTTATCAATATTGGTCAAATGGTTTTGATTTCTATGCCAGACATACATACATAGGCCTTACTTTCTGCTTTATATATTAGATTTCGCAAGTACTTCCTGTAGTAGTTGTCAGAACTGTAATGCTGCTTATGAATGACAAGCCTACGAAAAATATGCCTACGCACAGCCTACAAAATAATGTCATGATTATCAGTATAAATCATTTACAGTTGAATTATCAGATATGAAAAGTCTACTCAATGTTTTGCATTTTTGTTTAACATGTTGAGATATTCCTTTACAATTGAAGATCAAAATATCCAAGCCCCAACCTCCTGCAGAATAGCCTGGGATGGCTGTGGCACATGGTTCCAACCAGTTACCATTGAAATTTGTCAGTCCAGAGCGCATACACATGACTGAGCAGCCAGGATAAGAAATACTTTCTTAGGCAACAATTTTCAAGTGAAATAAAAAGTTGTACAATAAATAAAATGCTGCCAACTTACCTCATCTGTTGCTGTCCTCATGATGCCAAATATATTACAAAGGAATGCAAGAAAACATGTGAACCTCTGAGGATTCTGAACTGCAATTTCTTTCCTGGCTGAAAGAGAGACATTATTTTTACAAAGCTTATATCAACTCAGTAAGTCTGTCTGGTACATGAATCAATACAAAAGATTAACCAATTAACCAATTAATTACTGGTAATCTTATCTTATTTGATACTTAATTACAGATATTGCTGAATATGTAAGGTTTTTTCCCTATAGATAATTTTACAATTTATTTCTCCCGCGCCCATTCCCGGATCAAGTTGAAACTTTAGAAAATTATTTATTGTACCAAACATTACATTAATCAGATAAATCAATAAAATCTACAGATTAGTCAACAAATTTTTGTAATCAATTATTTGTTTTATATTGAATAATGGAATAGTTTCTACATTATTGAAAGATGTAGATGTAAGTGCAGAGTTCTTTCCATTAGATAAGCTTTGCTTGTTCTTTACGAAAAATTTTAATTTCAAAATAAAGTGTTTTTATTCTCTAATTTAAAATAAAGGGTTTGTCCAAACTTCAAACATTGATTCAAAACGTCACCAACCTTTA